AGAACCGTAAGATCTATAAACAACCGTTTTTTCCCCCCCCCCCCCCCGCCCCCTTTGAAATACTTATTTTGAATATAGAATGTTGTACACGTTACAGAAAAATATAATATTTTACAGAAATATTATAATCTTATACAATATAATATTTCATGAAAATATTATATGTTAGTTGCAGTAAATGGAAGCAATAATACAAGATTGATACAGTGATATGGTTGCATTAAGAATGAAAGTCACATATGAGTTTACAGTTACATATTCAAATCATATATGTTCCATGCCACCTTATAGGCTGTATGCCATCAGAGTATTATTAGTAATCAAATCTCATTATTAAACATCTCTAACAAACTGTTTTCCTTTAGAGTGTTCTCCTTAGCAAACATTTCCTTTGTTACATTTTCACCTAATGAATTTTCTCTCTGCAGTCAGGTAGTCAATGTGACCTTGCTTTCACTAACAGTGGCTGCATTAAGTCTTAAGTTTTATTAACTCAAGTTGAGCACCTCTGGCTATCAATCAGTTTAGATAAGCAATGCTTCCTTCTACTTCTTCCTGTGTAACTGTAAATAAAAGTTTGTAATTTCTTTTTTTTATGACTTATAGTAAAATTCTTGTCTTTAATATCTAGACACAATTAATGATTTCTATGTGTGCAACAAGTTATAAAATTGTTTAAATTATGAATTTCCATAAAAGAAGAACTTATTTCTATGTAATCCCCACTACTGTCCGATAATTAAATTTCAGTTTGTTTATTTATATTATTATTTTTTAGATGGTACTTTAGAAAGATCAAACGAATTGAGGCTGAGAAAAAGTTACTGCTACCTGAGAATGATCATGGTGCATTTTTAATTAGAGATTCTGAAAGTCGACACAATGATTATTCTCTTTCAGGTAAACTAGCTAAGTTCAAAATATGTTCCTTGAATGTATAAATTCTATTTTTTTTTTAATGAATGTAAAAGTTGGCTAATATTTCGGAGAGTTTATTGATCTTATTTTAATATATTCCTAGTACGTGATGGTGACACTGTTAAACACTATCGCATTAGACAATTGGATGAAGGTGGTTTCTTCATTGCCAGGAGAACTACATTCAGAAATCTTCAAGATCTTGTTGAACATTACAGTAAAGATGCTGATGGACTTTGTGTAAATCTCTGCAAACCGTGTGTACAGGTAAGACAAACTTTCTAATTGAATTAATATTTTTAATGATCCTATATCATATAAATGGAGTTTAGACAGCTTGCTGCATGTATGAAAA